GCGGGCTCTCGGGCGCGGCGGAGAGCGTCGTGGGGCTCAACCACAGGAGGAGCCACACCCTGCCGAGGCCAAGACGCTTGACATACCTGGCCTGCTCGCACGCACTGATCCCAGCCCTGTACAGTGCTGAACGGCGCTCAAGTCCGCTGCCACTGCTCGCCCTCAGCGCACGTGCTGACCCCAAGAACTACAACTGACACAGGCGGGCCCAAGTGGCAACATCTAAAGCCACTTCCCGCGAGATGCGCCACCGCTGACAACTTCAAGAGATGATGTCCGCCCAGATGAATAGCGTGGCTACCCAGCGTGAAGCCGCACAGGCAGTGCATCGGAGGATAGTCTCAAGCGAGGATGACCCATCTCAGGACAGCCCCAGAATCCTGCAGAATCGCGAAACGACCTCTCACACGCTGTGGTACACACATTGAAGCCGACCTCGTTCGGCTCCCGAAAAAACATCCCAGACGTCGCCGAACAACGGCAACACCTGCCGCCACTGGCCGCATCTCTCACACGAGGTGACCCCTGTGAAGTAGCTGATGACGTCGGGCTCCAGCCTCGCCTTCCTCATCTCCCCGAGCAGCGACACGGCACACCGCCACTGCTCGCCCCTCTCGCACGCGCTGGTCCCTGCGTTGTAGCTGATGACTAGTGCGAACCCGTAGACTAAGTCCACGGTGTGCTGAACCTGGGACTCGCACACGGTGGGTGAACAGCTCGTCGAAGCTGAACAGCTCGGGCGTCCCTGGCGCCGTGTCGGGGGCATGTTGGGCCCTCCTGCGAGCCTCTCTGGGGCGGCTTGAAGGCCTCTTGCGGTTTTTGTGCGCCTCTGGGGCCGCTCCTGGGCTGTTCCCCAGAGCCTCTTCTGGGGGACAGCCTGGGAAACTTATTGTGCATGCGTGCTGAGGTTGCTGTCAGCAAGCTCCCGTGAGAGGACGGAGGGGGCCCACAACGGATGCTACTACAGGGGGGTGCGTTGTGGCATCCGTCGGGGCTCGCTCAGGAAGGCCCAAAGACGACCGAAGCTGGGGCTAAGAGGGGCTCTGTGCGGCCCTCCAGAGAGCACCCGACGGATGCTACAACAGAGGGGTCCATTGTAGCATCCGTCGGGGGTCTTCTCTGTCCTCTAACTGGAGCTTACTGAGGCCTCCTCAGGCCCTCTTGGGCAACTCCTGATGCGTCTTGGGGGGGCACCTGAAACTCGAGCAAACCGTCGGGGGCCTGTCTTGGGCCAGCTTGTGGCCCTCTTGGGCTGTCTTGTTGCGCTTTTGGACCATCGTGGGGCGATCGCATGCGTGGGACCATTCTGGGCCGTCGTGGCGAGTGTGTGGGAAACATCGGTAGAAACAACAAAAAAATGTTCTTGATCTCTGGTCTCGTGGGTTCGTCTTCGGGGTCCTCGTGGGCCCTGTTGGGCCGTACCGGGGGCCCCATTGGGCAGTTTTCGGGCCATGATAGAAGTCTGGAAACGTCTGAGAGTCTTGTTTAGGCCCTCCTGGGCACCTCCTGGGGCGTCTCGGGGGCAAACTGAAGCTCTGTGAAGCTCTCCGGGGCCTGTTCTGGGCCGTCTTGGGACCCTCGTTGGCCGTCTTGGTTGACTCGCGAGGTCCTCTCATTCCATCTCGGTGCAATCTTTGAAAGACCTGGAGCCCTGTGGGGTCGCTCTGGGCCCGTCATGGGGAGAACGTGGAAAATCTATGGAAATGCGTAGTTTTGATTTGTTTTTTCGCATCGTGAGGCCGTCATCGGGGTCTGGGCCTGAATGGGCCGTCCCGGGGGCCGCTTGGGGCGTCCTGGGGCCATGTGAGGGGTCTCGGGCCGTCTTGGAGCTCCCTTTGATGCCTGCTGGGCAGCTCGTGGGGCCCTCTTGGAGCTATCTTGGGGGCCACAGGGAGGCTGTCTCGGGCTTCTCTTGGGCAATCTTCGGGGCCTCCAGGGCCGTTTTGGAACACCTGGCGGGGCGGTCCACGGCGATCTGGGGTGGCCCTGCAGCCGTCTGGGGTCGTCCATGGCCCGAGATGGCGAGAACATTGAAAACCTTCCAAACCTTGGGAAGATCTATGCTGCTGGTCTCGGGAGACGCTCGTCGGGGTCTGGCTGGGCCGTCTTCTGGCCCGTCGGCGGGCCGTCCTGAGCTGTGAGAGAGCTCCTTTCGGGCTCCTTTGGGACGTCCTCGCGCCCTCCAGAGCGTCTTGGAGCAATGTTCGGACTGCCTCAGGCCGTCTTCGAACCACCTGGTGGCTCTCTGGAGCTGTCCGAGAGCGGCGGGGCGTTCCGGGCGTTCGGGGGCATCTCGCGACCTTCTCGCCCCTTTCGCACGCGCGACGACCAGAATTGAGTAGTACAGATGACGCTGGGTTTCAGTTTCGCCTCCCGAATCTCGCTCAACAGCGACACTGCCCTCTGCCACTGCTCGTCCTTCTCGCACGCGCTGATCCCGGCGTTGTAGCTGACTAGTGCCAACCCGTGGATTTGATCCACGGTTTGCTGGATCTTGGGCTCGCCAACCGCAGGTTTAATCCACAGAACAGGGCGTCGAAGCTGACCAGATCGTAGAACTCGTGGAGAGGATGGGGGGGAGGACAAGAGTGCAGGTGGAGCACCTCGGAGCACCTCGGTAGCGACCCCGTGGACGAGGGAATGCGATGAGTTCCTGTCGTGACAAGCTGCACTGTTGCTCTTGACACCGCGTGGAACGCTCAACCCTGCACGATCGGCAGCTTTGACATCGCGACATCGTTCACGTCGGCCGATTCTGGACTAGTGTCGACGTTGAGACCTTGATGCTGGCACTGAGGTCACTGCCGCGTCGACGCGACGCGAATTTGCGCACCCCTCTCCAATGCTCGGTAAAGAGTGCCAAGAGCCTCGTTCTCACGTGGCGCGAGACCTGGCAGGCAGCCCAGACGAGGAACGGCACGAGGAGGATTGGGAGTCCCAAAACGGTGCGGTGACTGACCGTGCGGTGACCTCGAAATCCTCCCAGACCTCACCGCACGGTCCGTCGCCGCATGGTTTTGGGACCCTGGAGGCCCCTGTCGCCCGAGACATCCTCGGAGAAGGACTCGAGTCCCAAAACCGTGCGGTGACCCCGAATCCCACCGACTCACCGCACGGTGTGGTCACCACACCGTTTGGGGGCCCCCAAGAGGAGGGAGAAGGGAGCGAGCGCTCCGGGAGGCGCCGAGATGCTCCTCGGGCGCAGCCCAACCGACCCCATGTGTGACGGGCGCTCCCGCGACGACCTCCCCGCTCTGGAGGTCCGCCTGCGGCTGCGTGCGTGCGTCTTGCAGTGAGACGAGAAGGCCGCCACGGGAGAGCGCTGGTCCGCTGGGGCTCGGTGGGGCCGTTTCTGAGCCACGTCCCGTCGGGCTGCGAGAGGGGCGCCCGATCCTCCACGATGACCGGGTACCAGAACTCCGCCATGACGTCTTGCTGGAGCGCACGCTCCACACGTGGCCCTGCATCACCTCCCCGACGTTCGGTGCCTCCTGGGGGCCCGTCTGGGGCCTCGGGTGCCACTCTCAGGATTTGTTGGGCGTCGCTTGGGCCGTGTCGGAGGCACCGTGGGTCCTTCTGCGAGGCTGTCTGGGGCTCCTGGAAGGCCTCATGTGGCATTTTGGGCGCATCTGGGGTCGTTCCGGGGATGTGCACCCGAACCTCTTTTGGAGGACAGCTCGAGAAGCTTATTTTGAAATCGCCTTGGAGCCTTCTTGGGGCGTCCTCGGGGCTCAAAGGCTATGTGGGGACTTTCTTGGGGCCGTCTTGGAGGGCACATGGGCTCATTGGGGCAGTCTTCGGGCGCTCTTGGGCCATCTTGGTGCCCTTTTGAGCCGTCTAGGGCCTCTCTTGATAGCCTGACGGGCAATGATGGGGCGATCTAGGAGGCGCTGGGAGCCGCCTGGAGCCGTTCTTAGGGCGGAAGGCGAAAGGGGACAAGCTGGAAATCCTGCAAAAACGGTGGAAAATCTTCCCTGTTGGCCTCGCGGGGCCGTCATCAGGGTCCTCTCGGGCCGTCGTGGCTGGCGCGTCTTGGGGCCGTCTTGGAGCATTTGGAGGCCCGTTTCGGGTCTCTGGTGCCTTCTGGGCGCTCTCTGGAGCGTCTCTGAGCCTTCTGGGGGCCGCTCGAGGCCAGCCAGGACCGCCCCAGGAGCGCCACTGCAGCGCGCACTCGCACGAACTGAGCCGGGCGCTGCTGTACGGACTGGGGCTGACCCGTGGACTTGCACTGCCGTCAGCGAGATCGCACTCGCACGCAACAGGGAGGACTGCAGCGCACGCACGCGGCACAGCTCGCTCTCTGAGAGATTCACGTGGATCGCGACACGGCACGCAAACACAGCGAGTTATGGCGCAACGAAGCATCAGAGACGATCATCCTCTTCGCAACACCACTGTGAAGGGAGCGCGCATGGACGCTCTGGACACGCTCCGACCGGCGGCGGAGTCCGAGCGGACCCCGCCTGGATGGGCAACTGCTGGGATCTCCGACGTGCCAACAAGTGGCGGAGTCTGACCCGACCGAACCAGGGCCAAGCATGATAGGAGTTATCAAGTTACTGAAGTAAGAACTCCGCATAGAAATGTGCAAGGCAAAATAGATGCGAATATGTCCTTCAGCTACCAAGATGCCGCTCAGCGATCCAGTCGCTGAGCAACAATAACAAGTGCATGCCACGCTCGCTTTTCTCGCACGCGCCGACTCCAGCTTCGTAGCTGAATAGGGTGTCCCGTGGATGAAACTCACGGCCAGCAGATGGCACAATCATTACGAGGGCCGTCTTGGGCAGGTAAGACGAGGAGGCCAAACGCATTGCAAATGTCAGGTGTTCGATGCGTGTGGCCTTCTCGGGACTGAAAAATGGGGAGGTCATCTTAGTCTGTTCTGGGCCAGATTGGTGGCACGTTGGGGACATCTGGAGATGCCCTGCAGCGCCTCGGAGCTCCCGTGCAGCATTGGGCTGTCCTGCACCGTCTGGGGGGCCCTCCACCGGAGGCCC